AAGATCCTGTGGGACTTCCAGATCCAGACAGACAAGATGGTAAGGGTGCCTGTGGTCATCGGGGCCACCCGCGGAGGGTGAGAAGGCAATTTTATGTATATATATAAAAATTCCCTGGTATTTCTCCGGTTTCTCGGAACTTGTGGAACTTTGTAAAGTGTGTCCTTTGAAGAACGCCGTACTTGGCGTTCGCTACTGTGTGCTGGCAGTACAACGGTCAGTATTTGCTCTGAATTCTAAAGGTAGGCAATACTGACCGCCAGCTCCTCTATGTAGCCAAATGTTACTTTTGATGTTCAAGTGGTTAGTTTTGTATCATTTTTCTTTTTCTTCTTTTTTTTTCTATATGCTGTATCTTTAAATCAAAAAAAGAAATAACTGCGTTGATGAAACATGTTGACATGCAGTATTTGCTCTGAATTCTAAAGGTGAAGCCGCTGCGCTATCGGGTGGTCCGAATAAACGGTCCCAACCACGATTTCAACCGCCGTGTGTGTCAGATTCCTGTCTCGTTTCCTTTCGACAAAAACCCTTAAGAACACACAACGCAGAGCCCAGTTAACAGCGAGGACTCATCTCGCACGGACAGGGACCCGGATCGTTGTGCTTCAGGATCACCTAGGCAACAACGCCAGCAGCCCCGTTACTCAACGGCTTCGTTCTGGTAGTTTCCTCAGTGTATGACAATCTGAGTTAACGTGTGGAGCTGAAGCTGCAACTTATTATTTTAGTGTCACTTTTAATGTGAAGAAAAAAAAGAAAAAAAAGTTTGTGAACTACATTTTGTTTGAAATATTTATTACATTGTGATTATATCCTTCTTTTGTGTGTGTAATTATAATTTTGGGAGTGCGTTAAGATAACTTTAAGATCTGTAAAGTGTTGCATAAAGTTGATTTCTGACATTGCATCATGTATCACAATTTTAGGTGTGATGGAATTAGGATTATAACTTTATATTGAGTTATTTAAACAGCTTTACTGTATGCATAAATTGCACTGTTATATTTTCTTATTGTATTACTGTAGAGCTATTCAAACTTCATGTTAAATTGTTGTCTGGCAAGGAGAAAGCAAAACATGATAAAAATTGCTGATATGTCTCAGTGCATTAAAAAAAACAAAAAACAAATGTGAAAATATTACAGAAACTGACATTTCTTTTTCTCTGAGTTTCTGCTACATTTAGAGCCCAAAGGGTAACCAGCATGTTGCAAGAAGAGTGTCTCTAACATTGAGACTTAAGGCCATGAGATTCTATAAACAGAGAAACAATGATTTTAAAAATGACAATAAACGATTTGAGAAAGATTCATTTAAGTGGAGTCTATGGTGTCACGTCATAAAGTGCCTCCTACTGCCCAACCAATGTAAGTACAGAAAAATCTGCTGAATTTGGGATGATCGTCAGCCATAAATGAAGAGCCCTTGGAATTAAGGAAATATTGGCAATACCAAATAAAACTAAGGACTATTATAACTTTGAACCCTTGATTTGAAGCTCGGAGGATTTCGTAATTAATCATCTGCTCATTAAAGTGGGCATCATGCTTCACTTCTAACAGACAGTTTTAGCCATACTGATACGATGCTTGAACAGTATGTAGCTTTTTTTTTGTTGTTTTAAAAGTTTAACACACCAAACATAATGTAGATAAAGATGGAAGCATAACTAATATCCAAGCCAAATGGGTATAAAGCTAGTGATAAAAAAGAAGGTTTGGAATCAAGATGTAGTGAGAGTGGAGCAGAAATAGCTGAAGATAGAATAGAATAGAATAGAATAGAATAGAATAGAATAGAATAGAATAGAATAGAATATGCATAATTAATCCATCAGGGGAAATTGTTTATCTGATGTGAAGCTACTCCAGCTAAAATGCTGAGCAAGCTGAGAATTTCCCATCAGACAAAGTTACCGACATTGGTGGTTCTTGAGAATAAGGTGAGCCCCTTATTCTAAATATGGATCCATTTTTTATTCTCAAAATAATTCCCAAACCTTTTGAGAATCTGTGTGCAGAATGATCATCTTCAACCCTGGTCAATCTAAGTGTTAACACATTACAGGAAGCAAAAGAAAACTCAAAGGGGCCACAACGTACATCCATGTTTTTATTTTTGTTTTTTCTAAGCAAGTATTTGTGCTGCCCTTGATAAAATTGTGCTCTGGGCATTGAGCCACATAGGCTGCATCAAAAACCACTACTGGCCTAGGGACAAAATTAAGCCACCCCAAAAATCCATCCATCCATTTTCTGAACACCCTTGTCCCTCAGTGGGGTTGGGAGGGGTGCTGGTGCCTATCTCCAGCTAACGTTCCGGGCGAGAGGCGGGGCACCCCAAAAATAAAAAATCTAATATCTGAAGCTCAAAAACAATACCATTCAGTGTTTGAACGTAATAGTGTTCTTTAGTATGGTAACATGATTGTAATTAGATTTATAAATCACTGAGGTAATGTAGGACTCGAATTCGAGTTATTTAAATCTTATTACTTTACTGCAAAAGGGAATTCCCTTTTAGAGTAAAGTCATAAACGCTCTTTTAGAATTTTTAAAATACTGTTTTGGCCAAAAATGAGTAAAAAGATGACTAAAACCACAAAATAAAAAAGTCGTCAGAAAGGTATTCATACATAAATTCTTTAATGCAATTCTAAAGAAGTGCATTAAAGAAGTGTGTTGTCTTTCGCTGTGTACAGCAGTGATTTGAGAAATGGGACTTTGGATTGGAGCGTGACATACGTCTTACGTAGACATCACGTGGTAGCGGGACAGAAACAAACATGGCGCCGCGAAAGTGAGAAAAAAACCCTCTGTGAGTGTTTTAAAACTGAAATTGTGGTACTTTGCTGTTGTCTTTGGTAGTTTTTCGATTAAAATAAAAACACACACAAAAACAAATTAAAAGTTAATTTGTGCTGTAATTTGATAGTTATCTGATCAGGAAACTGAGCCAACGAACTTTATTTGAGGCTTTTTGGTGTGTCGTGTGTTCAGTTTGTTTCCATACCAACCGCCGTCCTAGCGCGCTGTCATTTAACATTCAGCTGTTTAACGGGACTGTGCTTTTTAAACATTAATTTATTAAGTTTGTTTGGTTACTTTAGGCCTTTCCTGTCAGTCAGCGCTCAGGGTTGGATGATCCCACACGCAAATGAGAGGAAGAGGAAGACACTCTTCATCGCCGTCGTCAGGTAATAACTGCTGTGACTTCCGTGACAATAAAACGTAAGAAATCGAGGGAAAGAAGCGGTTGGTCTGGATTCACCTACTGTTTCAACATACTTGTCCACTGCAACAAATCTGAACATTAGGTAAAAGTTAAATCCAGTAATTCAGTTGAAAATATGAAAACTAATATGTAGATTCGGTGTACAGAAAGTGATTAAATTCAATATAAAATACTTTAGTAAGGGAAATAAAATGCAACTGGTATTATCCAAGTATCTTCAAAGATGGTGTTGCTGTGAGAAATCAAGTTATCCAGTAGCAGTCAGTCTTGTAGGAAATCTAAACAGGCTTCTGACATGACAATCTGTCATGACATGATAACAGCTCACTTTCTGGACAACAGAGATGAAACGTCACAGTCCTGGATAATGCATTCAGTTATTGGCAAGCACTACTAATCCACCTCATTTGTTTTTGGTTTTCTGAAGTCTGTGATCTTCCTTTTGACCAGTGTTTTCAATCCTGGTCCCAACCAAGCACAACTGATTTAAATGACTATTTCAGCACTGGCTGTATTTCAAGTGTTGCAGATGCTTTTTAAATCAGCCTCTCATTTAAATCAGGTGTTTTGACACTTGAACAAGTCCTTTCCCTTTTTATGAGTCAATAATGAAAATATTTCTGAATTACAATCATTTTTACTTGTCTTATTTAGTACTGAGAATCAACATTTTGAGTTTTAACTGGCTGAAAGCCTTAATCATAAAAATTAATGACAAAACAAAAGATGTCTTGGTATGTGTATGTCTACGGTGTGTGTGTGTGTGTGTGTGTGTGTGTGTGTGTGTGTGTGTGTGTGTGTGTGATGAATCTATACAAAATGAGTTGCAGTTATTGAAGCAAATTGCTTGAGTTAATTAATTTTCAATGATTTTCCAAATATGAAAATAAAATAAATCTAACATCACGCTGCTTTAGTACAAGTATGTCCTGAACTCATTTGATTGCAGTTTAACTGATCTGTCTATCCTTACACATAGTTATGGATCACGACCCAAATACAGAGATACTGGATACAGAAGGCTCTTTTGTGATCAAGTAGTTTTTAGTACCTTTGATAAAAAAATAGCAAAAAGTTTATATATTAAGTCAGTAGGAAATATTTGTTTAGTATCTCTAAACGTCTGCTTAGAAGTTCAACAACAAAATATCACTGATGGTACATAATAGATGTATTTAAATTGCTAAATACAATATGTAATTTGTCACCTTGTCTAAATATAGAAGAGCCTCAGTTGGCCTATTTCTACTGAGAGACGTATATTTTTAAACCTATAAAGATTTGATTTGTTGTCTTTGTCCTGAATCCTAAGAACTAAAATAAAAACAAGTTATTTTCAAAACAATGCAGAGGGATATATTAAAACCATCTTTAATTTCAGGCAAAAACCGAAGGGCTTTTTGAATTGAAGAGGTTGCTGCTCTAGATTGTGGTTGTCTCTTGCCTGAAAGAAAATCAGGAGCAGTAATCCAGTAGAAATGTTGCTCCTTTACATTGAAAGGAATCAGCCAGCGTGCTTCATCTGCCTCTTTTTAGAGGTTTTATAGGCACTCTAAAATATTATTCATCAGAATGGAAATGATTGAGTTCATTTAAAATTTAATTAATCATCTCATTGCTTATTTCAACAGGCTTAAACAAAAGACTTGTTTTCTTAATTTTGACTAGAAAAGAAGTTGCACTTTTTATTTTTTATTATCACTTGTTTTATGTAATTTATTTTTTAAAGGTTTTATTAGCTCCAGTGGCCTTTATTTGAGAGTGGTTAAACATGAAAGTGGGTAATGAGAGAGGGGGGCAGGCAGCAAAGGTCCTCAGGCTGGAGACTAAAGCCTCCATATGTGTGTTGTGCCTTACCTCTGTGCCACCACAGCATCCATGTTAAATATATTTAATAGTCATTATTTAGTTGAAATCAGTTTTAAGTTTGACATTTAAGAGTTGTTTTTACTATTTTCTTTGTCAAAATGCCACATTTTTGCTTCTGATTGATTTGTAAAAGCAAGAAAAGGGTAATACTTCCAAGACAGTGAATACTTTTTATATTCAGTTTATAGAAACTGTCAAGTGTTATTTTTCTTCCTGTCACAGCGACTCAGCAGCAGAGCAGGATGGCTCTGAGGAAGAACCTGACCCAGAACGTTTCCTCTGATAGCCAACAGGATGAAAACACCCAGGAGGACAAAGCTTCTACCGACACAGAAAGCAGGGTAGAGATGTTTAAAATCAAAACTTATACTTTTAATGTATAAGTTGGGTTAATAAATGAACCTAAAATATGTTCACTGATTAAGCTGCAGAAGAGTAAATTCCATCTGTGGTTTGGAATCTGTTTTTTAGGATGGGCTCTCGTCTTTGCTTCAGTCAACATTATTACCACGAGAGAAACGCCGAACGGAGAGGAAGAACCACTGCAGACGAAAAGGTGGATAGTCATTGTTTCCTGTTGCAGGCTATTAATCACTGGAGAAAGTTTCAAAATGTTGGAACTTATTCTTTCAAAAGCTTGCTCTTTCAAATGCATTCCTGCTTCTGTATTTTCTAACCCATAGGAAATGTTTTTGGTTTGGTACTCAAACACACTTGGCCCAGTTCTTTGGATTTGTTTAGATAAATGCTGTTGGTTTTGTATGTTTGCTGCTCAGAGATGACTGAGGAGGAGGAGATGGACCTGGCGCTACAACTCAGCAAACAGGAAGCCAGCAACACAGCACTGAGACAGCAGCAGGAGGATGAGAATGTGATGAAGGCCATTCAGGAGAGCGTGAGTTCAGATTTGACTTTACCTTCTGCAGAAATCCTGTTGAAACAGGATTATGGGTTATCTGGGCTGTAATTCAGGTAAGATAAGAGAAGAATAAAGTCAGCACATCCAGGGGTATCCACACTTCCTCTAAAAGCCTTACATTAATTTATCTAAAATAAGGTTCTGAAATGTCTTAACTTCATTTTAAAAAAGTAAGTTGGTACTTAATTTTGTATATTCACAAGATTATGCTTTACATAATATATATGTAAAGCACTTTGAAATGCCTTGCTGCTGAAATGTGCTATGCAAATAAAATTTGATTGATTGATTGATATTCAATATATTATTGAATATACAATATATTTTCTGTCAAAGGAAAGTGCATTGCACTCAGACATCTTCATTACATTCTGTGACTTGAGGCAGGTGGGTTAATATGCTGTTGCTTACTAACTAGCATTTTGCATATGTCATGGGTAAATGCAAATTTATCATCAGTTAGCTGGACAAAGTTTATAAATTGCTGTGACCATTCATAATGCTCTTTAACAGTCTTAAATTTGAGTTGGTGAAACCAGCAGAAACTCTGATACCTGAACAAATAGCGGAATAAGTCCATGATTTTTGCTAACCCACCTTTTCTCTGTGTAAATCTCAGTGTTTTCATATTTAAATACAGGGAGAAATCTGTTCTCTCTTGTTGAAATAGTGTCATCACATTGGATCTCACATGTTCATCTCATCTTTAAATATCTCCCTGTTCAGAGGTGAAGCTGGAAAAGTCATGAACTTAGACCAAAACCTGCACAGAAAACCAGAAATGATCCCGATGAGAGGAATCATCGGAAAGTAGACCTTAACATTTGCAGTTTTAATCAAAGAAGCTTTTCTCCCTCATAGATGGTCATCCAGACACAACCTGGTCCGAAGTCTCCAGACAAACATCTGCTTGACGGCGTCCCGCAGAGCACTGGCTCTCGACGAAAACTCTCATACTCTAACGGGGAGAGGATGCCAGAGGAGGTGAACTCAGGTGAGTCTGAGGATTTCTTCCTCCTCTAGTTATTCCTTCTTTATGACGAAAGCTGCTGATTGGTCAAATGTGTTGTGTTTTTTCCAGGAGCTGTTGGACCAGGAGATGAAATTATTACCAGGAGAAAAAAGCTGAGAAAACAAGCTGGCAGTCCTCTAATGAAAATGCCAGATTTGTCACAGACTCAGAATGTTTCCTCTCAGAATTCTCCCAGTATCACAGAATCGGTCTCCGCTCATCTGGACTCTCCGCAGGTCCGTTACAGTTTCACCTTCTTTTTTCTTTCTATTCATACTTTATAATCAGTAAAGAATCCAAAGAAAAGTGATCATTTATGTGCCTTCTCCTGTTCGGGAAGCAGAGCTCCGGCTCAACAGATATTGAAGACTCCCAGCTCCAGATGTCTCCAGTCTTCCCACTGACCGGCTGCAGAGCGGAGGTTCATGTCAGTCGCCTCAACCTGGATCTAGTGGAAACATGCAAGAGCTCTGGGTTTGTCTTGTGTTCTCAGGACAGTTTGATTTCCACTCAAAAATCTGCTCAGCCCAGAAGCCCTGTGTTCCCCCAGAGTAACCCCATATTCTGTCCCAAAAGTCCTGTGTTCCCAGGAGATGACATGGGCCGTGAAAGACAGCTGGAGCAGAGTCCCACGTTTGTTAAGAGTCCAGTTTTTGCGAGGACTGCTGACTGCTCTAATCATCCTGCTTGTGAAAATCTAGAGCTCAGCTTCTCCTCTCAGGAGAGTTCAAATCCCACTGTGAGGTCTGACTCCCCCCAGAGCCCTGTGTACCATAAAACCCCCTCAGGACAGTCTTCACTCTGTAAAGACCCCTGCAGAGGACAGGTGGAGCGGAGAGATGAGCGATTGACGAGCCCCACTGAAGTGCAGAGAACCGACCTGCAGCTCCAAGCTTCTGACTGTGACCAGAGTCCTTCTGGCTGCAGGAAGGTCAGCTGGTTTTACAATGATTCCAGGTTAAAAACGCTCAAAGTTACGTGATGTATGTAACTTTTACAAAAGTATGGTTTATTTTATGTTTATTAAAACTACCATCATGATGTGACAGTGTAACGTAAGAGACGTTTATCTTTTTCCTGTTAAGTCTTCAGTCAGAGGCCTCTTCAGGGTCGTTGCTAACTGACTGCTACTGGAAATCCTTCTCTGAAGATATTTAAGTTACAACATTTCATTTCCCTTTGGGATCAATAAAGTATTTTTGAATTGAATTTGAATCTAATCTTCCTGTGCGGGGTGAGGCGAGGTCAGATTCCTGATGGTCTGATTACGCTCCTGTCTCCTTTTTTAAAGAAATTGACTATTACTAAGATCTCCATAGAAAACGTAACATGTTTGTCAATGGAACAGCTTGCAGGACTTAAATCAGATGAATCTGACGTGATGTAAAGAGCCCAACGCAATGACCTCTGATAGTTTCTGTAAGTTTAGAGCAGCACCTTTGGGATGCTTCACAATATTTACCTAAATATTGTGAAACTCTTTTCAACTAGACTGCACGAATCGGCTGCTTGTTGTTTTTTGTTATTCTTCCACATCAGTCTCAACTGATGTGGAAGCACTTAAACTGCTTCTGGTTTCCTTCATTTTTTTATCTAAAGGACATAAAGTCTGACGGCTGTCCAACTGCCGAGTGCAACAGACATTCGCCGAAATCGGGTACGATGTAAGATCGCACATTTCATTTTTTAAATGTATGATCAGCAATTGATTTTAGTGTTTCTGTGACTATTAACCCAGAAGAGGTGAATGAAAACTGCAAAGGCTGGACCTCTGGAAAGAAGGAGCTGACAAGCGACATGACGCTGATCTGGTCAGAACAGGAGGAGGATGATGTTACAGTGAGGAAACATTCAGATTAAAGCTGTTTTTGATGGTTATGTTGTGTTTTCAGTGTTAAACCTTTGTACTCCTGTCCTCACTCTTTTGTGTGTGTGTGTGTGTGTGTGTGTGTGTGTGTGTGTTCTGCTGCAGCCCGTTGGTTCTCCCAGCCCAGTCTTCCCTGAAGAGAAACCTGCTGTTCCAGCAGACAACCAGTTGGGATCATCACCGAAACATGTATTGGTGGCTTCCCAAGAACCGTCCTGGCCAGACTGGAGGTACATCAACCTTACATATAAATCCAAGTTTACTAATAACTGTAACAAGCAGTTACAGTTCAGCAAGCCCTCTCTGTCAAGTAACTTGAATTACTTGACAAGCAGTTACAGTTATTAACTGTTAAAGTTTTTGATTTATTTTTTAGCATGTAGGTGATCAGAAAAGAAATAAAAATGTAAAGTTCTCCATTAAAAAATAGTAAACATAATTTTTTTTGCATAAATAATATATGACTAATAGACTTGAAACATAATCTGTGTATAATCTTCACACGGTGTATAAAAATATATAAAATACAGATTGTGATTCAGTTTTATACCCACAGTAAAATCCTGCATTACTCCCTCAATGTCCAGCAGAGGGCGTCTTATCCAGTACTGTCTAATGCAACTTCACCTTTTTACAAACTATTACAAATTTAAGATTGCCAAGAAAAAAAAAACTGAATAATTCACATTCAATGTTCACTGTTGAAAATGTTTAAGCTAAATGATTTTCTTTATGGCGTTTCCTTCTAAACCCTTCTAAAATAACGTAGCATTTTGCTAAGTAATATTTTGTCATTTTTCCAAGTTTTTTTCTTTACAGCAAACTTAAAACCTTTTAGATGAAAACAATGTTCTAGAGATGGTTCACAGCATAGAACTGGTATAGTTGAGGGCTTATACTGACATCCTAATGCCTGAACATTCAAGTCACTTGATAGAAAATAAACAAGCAGCTTCATTTAAATATCCCTATACCATACCAACTTTATTTATAAAGCACTTTAAAACAAGCACAGCTGATACATAGTGCTGTACATTAAAACACAACATAAAAAAAAAAAAAAAAACAACTCTTACAGTTTAAAAACAAACATACAATTTAAAACTAGATCCTGCTGGAGTTGAAAGCCAGGTAAAATAGATGGGTTTTAAGACGAGCTTTAAAAGTGGATAGTAAATAAAGGTTTAGGATTAATGCCCATTTTAATACCCAGATAGCACAGAATGATTGAAACAACATTGAATCAACGTTGAAAGTGGTCGGTGACTTGTATGTTGAATCAACGTTAGGGTTTCAACCATAACTGACATATCAATGTTGATTCAACCATCATCTGAATGTGGATCTACAGGCAGATTTGGGTTGATTTTATATAGAATGAAAGCTAAGGATTTATGTACATTTTTAGGTCTGATAGGTCTACATCATAACATACCACTAAAAGTTTCTTCACTGGTGTTAAACACACTATATTATTGGCAGATCATGCGTAAACTGTGTACAAAAGTTTAAAAATGACAACATGGGTTTGATTTAACATTTTATTTAAGAAAAGAGGGACAGATCTTTAAACATATTTGACTCTTTGATTGTCAAAACAACAGTATGTTGTCCACAGAAGAACAGAGTCCATGAAGTTAAGCTTTGTACTGTATGAAGTAGGGAAACAGTACAAGTTGTGGTAACCCCAGTTTGACTCTGGTTGGCGTCACTTTGATTCCTTGTGATGTCTTCCTCTCGTTCTGGTGCGTAATGAAGCCACTTCTTGACAATTTTGCTGCAGTCCTCAAGAGTCAGCTTTCGGTCAAACTGCAGAGCAACAGCTGAAAAACACAAAAATAAAAGTGAGGAAGGTGCCAGTTAGAAATATGATAAACATTTGAAAAGTTCTGAAAGACATTGAAAGATTAAACAGTGTACTGGTTACAGGTCTGAGAACAAATACAAACCATATAGTTCCCCATGTACACTCACTGTTAAATTAATATTTATTTTAATCTTTCATTAATATTTACTTAATGTTTACATATACAATTACATTTACCTATTGAGCTGCAGTATAGTGCAGCATTTATGATGCTGCACTCATGTTAAAATGAGGGAATCAATATTTAAAATAAAGGGCTGTTGATCAGAAAACCTAACGATAAAACTCAGGGAGGATCAGGGTTTATTTAACACACCAGAGACAGACAAATGGAGCAAAAGGTGCTTTGTCCTGTAGTTGGAAAAATTATTTATAATTTATACAGAATTAACTTCCATCAAATAGCTGGTTCAATCTTCCATCAACTACAAATATTTCCAAATAAGTTTATTAAATTCATTCAAAAATGTCCATATGCTGATAAAGATCCTGCACAAGTAATAATAGTCCAGGTCAGTTGGGCCAGGTGAGGGGTGGGCGGTGGAGGGAGAGGGGTGTGTGTGTCTTTGGCAAGTGGAGGGAGAAGGGTTGGGCGTTTGAATGGCCGAAGGTGGTGAAGGGGTGCAAAAAACAGCTTACATTGATTGAACATTTAGATTACTAGTTCTTCCCCAAACCTTGTCCTCAAGGCAAACTGGCCTGCATGTTTTCAGTTCAGCAAAACCCTGTTAATCAGACGTCAATTAAAATCATGTGTGCTGAATTAGGAAAATGCCTAAAACTTGCGGGGCAGTGTGCCTGGTGGACCGGTGCTGAAAAACACTGGATTCGATGTTGGTGTTTCAATCAATGGATATTGACAGTAAATCAACATTGATTCAATGACACATTTTCAATGTTAGTTAATTGGCTAGAATTGAATGGTTGTTTGATGGCTGATCCAGGTTCTGTCGTCGACCTTAAACATAAATTCAACCTTTGTGACGATAATTCAATGTTGAATTAACATATTTTGCCAACAAGCCAACAGCAAAGTGGCTGTGTGGTTGGGACATCCCACTCATATACACTGTAGGGGTGGACCGCTCCACTCCTTGTAGTAAGAATTTTTATTAACAAGTGAAAAATGTACAGAAGGGAATCATCACCCACTATCCTCTACAATGGTTAATTTAAAATGTGATAACCCCCACTCACTAATAACATGCTCTCACCCAGAGCTCTGATGAGGGGAAGGTGTGTGGCAAAACAGCTGACACTGATTCAACATTGATCAGACATCTGCATTTCATTCATTAGATTTCAACCACAAAACAACATTGATTCACTGACACAGTTTTAACGGTTAGAATTGGATGGTTGTTTGATGGTTGATCCACCGTCAGTTTTCGACTTCAACCAAGAAACAATCATTCTGACTATAATTCAACGTTGATTTAACATCGTGTGCTATCTGGGTATTTTCCTACATAACTTTATAACTGATTGATTCTCCTTGTAAATCTCCAAAATCTGGAGCCGATTGGCTTATAATTGAAACACAAGCATCTCTGGTCTTTCTGTTTCCAGCCTGAAACCCCAGAAATGTTCGTCACAGCTTCCCACCTCAGCCCTGCAGTCCCATCCTCTGAGCAGACGGGAGGATGTCCACAGGGCGTCGCCCCAGCGTGGGGAGCCTTCAGACAGACAGACAGTCCACTACTACTGGGGGGTTCCCTTCTGTCCAAGAGGCCTGGATCCAGATACGTACACCAAGGTGGATCTGATTGCCAGTTGGACAAACACAGTATTTACATTTTATACAAAACTTGAATTACTTGATTATTCCTCATTTTTTATATCCAGATAATAAGCTCATTAACTGTCAAAATGAATAATATTTAAACTTCTAATTTTAGCATAAGTGTTAAATGTCAGAGATGCTGAACGGCTCGTGTTTTCCTAAGGTGATCGTGGCTCAGATGGAGGTTTATGAGAAGAGTCTGAAAGAGGCTCAAAGGGGTCTGCTGAGGAAGGCTGAGTGGGGGGAGGCCATCCAGCCGGAGCCACAGGTCAACCAACTTTGATTTGATTTTTTTTTTTTTAGTTTATTAAAACATGTGCAAAAACATTAATAAAAGATGCCTTGCATGAGTTTTAGCTTAAGCTCGTTCTCATCCATCGTCCCTGAACAGGTGAGTTATCTCCTGCTTCTGATGCCTGAAAAAAGCCACTCCACCTCAAAACTATATTCACAAATCCTCTGAGTCTCTTAGTGTTGCCACACAAACGGCATTTTTTCTCTTTGACCATCTTGTTGCTCTGGTGGTACTGCTCACTTCGTGGTGTGTTCAGTGTCGTCGTCTCGTTGGAAATAAAACATTTTAAGTTCATTTCATCTTCAGTATATGGCAACTAAAACCTTCAGAGTATTCTAGTCATTCTGAGCCATGATTCCTTGAACATGAAACAAATTCCCAACATCATTACAAGAAATTAACTGAAACTTTTTTTCTGAACCTTGTCTGTTATGACATAGTGACAGTTTCAACAAATACGTAAATAACTTTTTTTAAATAAAAGTTGCATACTGCAGATTGAATAAATGACTAAACTCCTTACTGCTGCTGTTCAGATCATTTCCCTGGATTCAATTAAACACAATCGGTCACATGACTGTTTTCTGTTACACTGTTACATCTAGAATGAATGATTTGCCATGTAGAAACAAAAGTCAAAGCAGTTATTAACGTAGTTGGGATGTTGGTCTGCTCTTATCTTGATGTTTTTATTTCTCCTCAGAAGTCCATGTCCCCTGAAACATCAGCTGGGTCGCCTCAGCCTTGTGTTTCTCGAAGGTAAAACTGAATCTTGAAACCCTTAAAGAAAAAAAATGTGGTTGGACTCCTTGTGACGAAATGTATTCAGTCCAAGCCCATGTGAATTTCATACTCCAAAATTCTCACCTGACAAAAAAACAAAACTACAAAAAATATTTTTAATTTTTTGTCTTTTCATTGTTCACCGTCACCTGAGAATCTGGATCTTTGTCACTCTGGTTGTTTCCTGTTTATCAGGAGAGGTCTAAGACTGAGAGGCAGCAAAAGGAGCGAAGCTGCTGATTTTCTTCCAGAAGAGGAAGAGGAGAGAAAAGATGACGGAGAAGAGGAGCAGCAAGAAAAAGAGGAAGGGGGGAACAAGGAGAGTGATGAAGTGCAGATGGATACTGATGACTGTGAGGTTTGTCCAGGTGAAGTAGTTTACTGTTATGGCACCAGGTTTCCACTCATATCTCAGCTGCTGACTTGAACAAATTTTTCCTGTTTGAAAAAACAGAAACTCAACTGAGTGACAACGACAGCACAAAAGATCTGAGCTTGGATGTTGATGCTGAAACACAGGTCAGCCCCCTGCTGGAAGTAAAACATATTACTCTATTTTAAGGTTCTGTTCAGGAATTATTTTATGGCTGAGTCCATAATGATGAAAAGACATCCTGAGATATATTTGTTTTATCTCCTCACAGCCTTCACAGAAAAATCCTGAGCTGCCTGAGATCGAGATGATCCTCAGAGGTGATTCTCCAATCAGACACGAGTGTCAGGAGCCAGAGCCAAATTTGAAAAGTAAAAAAAAAACAAAACAAAAAAAACAGAAAAGCAAACATACTTACCCTTCTGAGTTTCATTGCCATTCTATAAATTAACTGCCACAGGTGAGTTTATGTGTGATTTGTTTTACCCACAGCAGACTCAAAAATGGAGGAAAACGTCTCAAGTTGCTGCAAAGATGTCAGAGGACAGACTGCACAAAGGGTAAAGAAAGTCAAGAGCAGAAAGGATCGAGAGGTGGAGAAGATGGAGGACCGAAGTCTTCAGAGATCAGAATGTCCTGAACTGGAAGCAGCCGTTGTCCCTCACAGCCCTGAAGCCTCTGTCGACTGCCCCCTCTGTCAGGGATCATTTCCCGCGAGTGAGATTGAGATGCATGCGGCGTACTGTGATGGCTTTCAAGGTAATGCAGAGGGAACATTAACTAATTTTACAATTAGTTTGCTTGATTAAAAGTAAATTGGAAATTATCGGCGTTACAACATAAAACTTTGACCAGCACAGAGCATAATGCAACTGATTTCCAGATTTCCTGTTTCCCTGGTTTGTTGTGGTGATGTTTATTCCTTGTTGTTGACAGACCCACTAAAACCTCGTAGGAAGAGGATGAAGAGAACAGAGGTGGTGTCGGAGGAAACCACCCAACTCTCTGATGTTTGCAGGTCTGTAGAAACCACAATCAGATTAGCAGTTTTTTTCCCACTACTTTATCTTTACCTTGTTTTTTCTGCATATTGTGATTGTATGATCCAAGCCCTATAAAACTGGTCTCATTAGTATCAGTTTGCCTTTTAAAAGCTCAGCAGATCTGGTTCTTTGCTCCACAGGAACCAGGAGAAATGCTACATCTGTCAGAAATCTGTTCTTCTAAGAGATTACAGCCGACATACAGAACTCTGCCTTCAACGTGGGACAGTGAGCAGGGTAGGAGTAACCTGAATAGATCTGCTTTATTTACACATTTAAATACTGCAGTGATAAAAACTGTTTCAGTTGTTCCTTTGTGTCTGCAAACATCAGAAGGGAAACCTGTTGTCGGCTTTGGAGAAAACTGAAAGCAGGGACTCAGGTCAGTGGTCCACAAAACTACATTTTAATCCTGTTTGGTAACACCTTGCTCTGGTTTTGGTCTTAAGTTATCTGCAGGGAAACCAAAAAACAGTATTCAGAACTCCCTGTCAGACAAGTTGAAGCATCTCTGATTTTCTTTGATTTGGGGTCTTCTCACAGTCTTTACCGTTATAATTTTTTTTCCTCAGAAACAAACTTTTACTGTTTCCTCAGGTGCTGGACCGTCAGGATCCAAACCCCAACCTGAGTAAGATTTATTTCATAAAACTACTAAGGTTTCTTCTGCATATTACTTGTGTTTGGGTTCTTAATTTCTCAAGTTTTGATGTTCTTTTTAAAATGAACTTTTTTTGTCTCATGCTGAACTGAGAGAAGTTTTGGTAACACTTTATTTGAAGGGGGTTGAATAAGACTGTCATCACACTGTCATAAACATGACATAACACCTGTCATGAACATCAATAAGTCTTCATGAATATTTATGACTGTTGTCATAAAGCGTCATTCGGTAAATCATGACACTTTTAATACAAAGTTGACATTATTCTAAATGTCTTTGTTATGACAACTTGACATTAACCAAGAAATCATGATCCAACATAAATTTGTCATATTTAATATTAAGGGCTAACGTTACAGTAATTGTGTTTAATAACTTTAGCTAACATTAACTTACAGCAAGGTAGGATTGGCTTGAATTGCTTATAGCTAACATTACAGAGAAAGAGAACATAGTCAATGTTATTTTCTCAAAGAAAATGTAAAGTTAATAAGACACATACCTCATATGTATTAGGTATCAAACTTCGATTTCTTTTTAAACAGGAGGTCTGGCCGTTAGAACTTGTTAGGTTTGCGCCACAATATGGAAGATTTCTTCTTCAACAAACTGCACGCCTGTTCGTGCACTGCTGCCTCTCACTGGTGGAGATGGTGTATTGCACTACTTAATTGTGTTTCGAAAAGGGGTCCAACCGACCCCACACACGTAAAACTTTTATCATTTGCCAAAGCTCTCTACGTTTGCCTCAGTCCTCGCACACAAGGGTTAAAACAGCCTTAAATAATGTTTCAAATGCTAAGTTCATAAGTGCTTTGTAGACATCTTGCTGTAAAACTTTAGGATCAGTTAAATTAAGAAATTAAAGAGTAAACAACATGGCAGAGCTTTATAATATTACTACATAAAGCTTATTTTTAAAGTTTAATCGGTAATACTTTTATAACAAATTTATGTCAGATCATGATTTCTTGGTTAATGACAAGTTGTCATAATGAAGACATTTTGAATAATGTCAACTTTGTATTAAAAGTGTCATTATTTACCGAATGACGCTTTATGACAACAGTCATAACTATTCATGAAGACTTATTGATTGATGTTCATGACAGGTGTTATGTCATGTTTATGACAGTGTCATGACAGTCTTATTCAAACCCCTTCAAATAAAGTGTTACCGAAGTTTTTTTGTTTGTTTCAGCACAAGACCCACAGGATCTTGAGGTTCATGCAGAGCAAATACAAATTTTCTATTTTCTAATATTTTTACATTTATACATGTGTCAATATTGTAGGGCTGAAACAGTTAATCTGATTCTGATGAACCAATTATTGAATACTAAATAACTAATTTAGTAATCGATTAATCTTTTCTTTTTCTGTAAATGTATTCTACCCAGAACTCAGCAAGTGGCAGATTTAGTTTCACCTGGTTCAAATTATGTAAAATAAATCCTGCTAAACTCCTTTTGCAATACAGTTATTAGTCGGTTAATCCAAAAAATAACCAACATTATGACGTTAAGTCAAGCAGACAGAGCCAAATTTTTACATGTTGATGTTAGAAATATGTTTAGCTTTGCTTCAAATGATCAAGTGTTTGCCAAAGAAATACTGTTATTGTATTTTAGACAATAAAATATTTATTTTCTTATTTAAAAAGGAGTTGAATTGTTCATTTGCACCTTTTACTGTATTTCTAATATTGTATAAGAAAGGCTGAAGTGGGTAAATGAAAAAAATCTGCAGAATGCAGCAATTTTTTAATCCGTTTAATCGTCAGAATAATCCATTACTAAAATAATCAATATTTTCAGACCTCCAATATCATGCATTAATTCATTCATGTCTTCTGTTGACATTTTTAATCGTCTGTCATGTCTTGACATAACTGCAGGTCATCCCTAGTTTTGCATCTTTTCCTGAATGATTGATCTGGAGTCCAACAGCTGTGTGTGTGTGTGTGTGTGTGTGTGTGTGTGTGCCTGACTTTCAGAGCAGTTATTGATCTACGGGACGATGATGATGATGATGAGGAAGTTTCAGCATACAGGATCAATAATTCTCCCATCAGATCCTTCACTCCCATCTCTGAGGCCACCGGATGCCTTATTGACTTCAGGAAACAGCAGCGACCCAAGAAGCCCAGTCAAAGACGGAGATGATGTCATGAAGAAGGAGCCAGAACCTTTAACCATCACCAGGCTGCCAGGGTTGTGATGGAGCCTTTTTCAAGATGTTTTATTTAAAAAAACAAACTGTCTGACTTTGTTGAAACCACTATTGCTGATGTCAAACTACCTCCTGCTTTGTATAAACATTCCCGTTATGTTACTGTAGTTCTGCTTTTTATTTACATTTAATGTCTTTTAATCAAGCAAACTCATCTGCTTCAAAATAACGATTGATTTTCTCTGAATAACAGTTGAACTGAACTGTAGTGCCTTCTACTGTCAGAATAAAGTATTACACACCTGAATTCAACAGATCTGACCAACAATTTAAACTATATGAAGTAAAAACTGAGGATTCACTTTGAAAAATGTAAAAGTTTGTTCAGGTCAGCAAATGTCCACCAGTCCCTAACCATTTGTATTTTATTACAATAATCATAAGTTAGAGAATATAAACTTGCACAAATAGGCGGAGCCAAAAATAGCAGTTGAGTTTCTAGACCAAATTTACCGGAGGAGCAAACATTCTGTTGAAATAATCGTGTGACATCGTGAGAACAAATGTAATTTTTCTGTTGCCTCCCACTCACTAACGCAACAACTATAATGAAGTAACAAAGCCTGTCTTCACTTTTTCAAAAACACATACACTACTTCCTCATAGGAACTGAAGCACCATCAGCTGCATCTGTGGGTGCTTCCCGATGGAGGGGAAATAAATTTTGACAGGTGTTCAGGAAAAAATGGGGGGGGAAGGGCAATGTTTCATTGTTTAATGTATTTGGTGACCTGCAGAGAAAAGGAGCCTCTTGCAGCTCCAGAGCTGATGAAAACTGTGATCCCATTGCAATATGGATGAAGCTGACCTTAATTTTTAATTCGTTGTTAAAGGAAAACATAAAATTGGTTCAAAAGTTATGGTTTCTGTGCCAAAGCATATCACTAGGTTAAAGGGGCCAGGTTAAAGCACTGGCTCCCTCTGGCCCCTGTCTAGAACCACCCATCTCAAACCACATTTTCTGAGTTCAAAATATTTTCCCTGAAGTTGCAGAACAGGGCCGGTCCTAGTTTGTTTGGTGCCCTGGGCGAACAACAGAGAGAAGAGGTGCAGCAGGCAGCACCAAGCCTGTCCGCTTTGCATACAGCACTCACATCCAGAGGCAGGGCATGTGACTTGTGTGTGTGTGTGAGTGCTTACAAGTGTGGTGTGCATGTATGTGGAAATAGAGTAAAGAGGAGAGGGGGTGTTCAGAAAGCTCATGCCGCCCTAGACGAGCCCATATCATTCATATCGGAGACCTCCACTACATGTTGCACTGGATTATTATGTCATTGTAGTCTGTGAGACTTATCACTTCAATTTCAACAGCAGAGCTGTCCAGGTTGAATATGGTTGGTATTTCAGAGACAGTCTCCTCAACATAGGCGCCTGTGGACAGTAACTTGGCAGCAGCTGCACCATGAGTTCAAAGCATTAACAGGTCCCGCACAACTGGTATTTAAAATTGCTTTGTAAAATGTAAATGGCAAGTTCTCTCAGTGATCTATATTAGTAGATTGGACATCATCTGAAATACTCTGCTTTGCTTAGAGTCGGGAAAATGACACAATGAAGCAAAGAATCTGGAAAAGGGAAGGAATGTCCATCCATTTTCTGCACACCCTTGTCCCTTAGTGGAGTCAGGAGGGGTGCTGGTGCCTGTCTCTAGCTAATATTCCAGGCAAGAGGCAGGTTATACCCTGGACAGGTCACCAGTCTGTCATAGGGTAACACAGGACAAACAACCATGCACACACACACACACCTAGGGAGAATTTAGAGAAACCAATTAACCTGACAGTCATGTTTTTGGACTGTGGGAGGAAGCCTGAGTACCCAAGAGAGAACCCACGCATGCACAGGAAGAACATGCAAACTCCACACAGAAAGACCCTAGGCTGGGAATTGAACCCAGAGCCTTCTTACTGCAAAGCAACAGCTCTACCAACTGCACCACTGTGCAGCCCATGGGAGGGAATTGTTGGGAATGGAAATCCCGATCGATGAATCATAATTTGTATTGACACACGAAGCATAAAATCAGGCAAGAAAAGCATTCAGACTTAACTTATTTTATTAACTTTCAACGCTGAGGGGGGGCGCTGTGGAGCCACGAACTAAGATGGCAGCTTAAAGTGGATGCTCCGTGAGACCTGCACCAAAACTTTGAAAAACCCAGGATTAGAAACGTAATCTGGACCCGAAAATGTCAAAATCAACCACTCTTCAGGACTGTGATATTTTCACACGAAAACGCGGTTCCCAAAAACCAGCTAAAACTGATACTTCGGTAGCAGATCAAGACAAAGAGGGGCCGCTAGCATTGATAGCATGTGTGACCTTAGCACGGTGCTAGCTGAACTTCGGTCGTTGCATTCAGAGTTCGGTGGATTTGGAAACAAATTGGACAGCATAGATAACCGTATGGGTGAAATGACGAAGTCCATAGCCTCTTTGGAGAAAAACATAGCAGAGGTGAAGCAAAATGTGGCTGCTAATGCTACTAGACTGGAGGAAGCTGAAAACAGAATTGTTACAGCGGAGGAACTCTTAGAAACTAGTATGGCTAATCTTGCCAAAGCTCTGAAGCGAATATCCTACTTGGAAGCTAAGACCGACGACCTGGAGAACCGAGGCCGAAGGAAGAACCTGCGCCTCTTTGGGATCCGGGAGAACGCTGAGGGTCAGCGGCCTTTGCTAGGGTTTATACGGGAGATGCTGTCGCGCTGGCTGGAGACCGATAGATCCTTCATCATTGAGAGGGCCCACCGCACCCTAGCACCTCCAAAACCAAACCAGCACAGAGCCGTCCTCATCCGTTTCCCGAATTTCCAAGATCGGGAATTTGTTTTCCGCTCTACAAAACAACGCAACATTGAATGCGATGGGAATAAAAAAATTTTCGTTCAGGATCTTTCAGCAGAAACCATCCGACAGCGAGCTGAGTTCGATAACATCAGGAAAGCTTTTGCTGAAAAAGGACTGTTCCGCGGGTGTCAATATAACCCATGCAAAATGAGGATCCTCCACAAAGGGAAGATACAGCTGTTTTCATCTCCTAAGGAAGCTGGGGATTTCCTCCGCAAACACGCTGGACAGGACTGACTGTACTGGTGAGCGGTTCAATTCCTGAACCACCGAATTAGCTGCTTATAACTGATAGCTGTTTTTCTCTACCTCAGCTGACATAATATCAAGTTAATCTTTGATGTATGTATAGGTCATAAGCAGCTACGGAGTGACTATCTATCTATCTATCTATCTATCTATCTATCTATCTATCTATCTATCTATCT